TTGGCTGCTGTGCGACCACAAGTTAACAGATGATGATACACCGCAGACGTTTATGATTTACTGTGTACATTACATGTGTACTATCTGTTTGCCCTCTGCACTTCTCTAGTTCAGTAATTATCTGATTTCCTTTATGGGACAACGTTGAGGACTTGTTTCAAGGACCTCGGTTTCATAAGAAGAAACGACTCTGGCAAAATGCCTGAACGCGTTACCAAAGAGAAATTCCTTGATGGCCCGTTTTAAACAGGCTGTACAGATGTATAGCAATAATCATTGTATTCATAAGTCTGAGTAAACACAAACGTTTATCAGCAGTTCCCATAGAGAATATTGAACCAGTTCAGCTGCTGCCACGCCCAACATTTCAACACTTGGTTTAGCCACTTTCTAATGCTGTGGACTTAACTGCTGCAAAAGGTAGAGGCAGTACGGCTGCAAAATGCACTGTGAATAGTGTGGCTAATATGAATGTGAAATATTCATACCATGTTTGAAGAGCAAAACTTGTCAGCTGAGTATTATGACCTTGTGTTTTTCATGCTTATGTAATATTTAGCTATTTGGACAGAGTCTGTCGGCAGCAGATGCCAGCGGCAAACACAAACGACATTTCTCTAAACGCTCAAAGTCGCAAAGAGATGGAAGAACAGAGCAGAGAGAGGAAAGAAGTCACAAATAGCTGATGTAGCCATCACAATATTTTTTTATGTCATGCAGTCCTACTAGGTAGATTTAGCAGATTTAGATTTAAATCGATCCATTAAAAACAGGTTTCTTTATTGTTGATTAGGGTGATGGTTATGAGGCTCCCCATTTTCAAAGATACAGAGGCTTAGTTCAATAGACTATGTTAACTCTGCTGCAAGATTTCTTTTGTTTGTTTTTACTTTAATGTATCGACATGCATCAAATTCAAACAACTTATGTTTGATAGAATAATTTTGACTCCGCTACAAAAAAAAAATGTATAAAGGAAGCAATTAACTTGATCTAACTGCTTTTATTTAAAGCATGGGTCTTCAACGTTTTTCAGGTCCAGGACCCCCAAACTGATGGCGAGATGGAGCGGGGACCCCCTAATTATATATATTGAATGAAATTGTGTTATATCAAACTGGTCCTACAGTCACTCGATTACAGATGGAGTCATGTAATGAAAGTAATTTCTCCCTGGGATTATTAAAGTATTTCTGATTCTTGGTTGATGGGACAGGTGTTGTGAATGAAACGGTGCCCAGCTTAAAAGAGCTCCTGTGTGTCGCTGAATGTCTGCATTGATGACTGAAAGGCATCTTCTGCCTCCATTTACCTGTTTAATACAGTGTGTTTAATTCCTGTTTATGTGTATTTAAAGACTTTTCAATTAGTGGAAAAATTGCAGGGGGGAATATTAAAAAAAGAGTGTTATCAACCAAAACTTTGGCGAACCCCATGCAGTACCTCCGTGGACCCCCTAGGGGTCACGGACCCCCTGTTGAAGACCTACGATTTAAAGGTATAGAGGAGGATCTTTTATTTCTGGGTGGATCATCTCAATAAGTGGTCCTCCTTATTGTCAATCATTCTGGTGATATGTTTACATAAGGCCGTCCTACGTGCTCGTCCCCTGTTAGCTATCTTTTTCTACTCATGTGCACTTTCAGGCATATATCTGTGGTGAGTTACGGTTTCAGACAATCATTATAGTTCACCTTTATCACCTCGGTTCTTTGAATATTGCCGAGGGTCGTAAGAGAAAAAGTGTTTACGAGAAGAAAAGAAAGGCCTAATAAGAGGCAGATATATCCCAGAATGCTTTGCACAGAGAGCTCTTCTCGCAAAGCATTTGGTGTCACAGCTGCCCGCAGTCGACATAGGCTGTCATACCCCACACCGACTGCGCGGTGAGGGAGGAGTTACGTGACCAATGGAGCAAATAGCCGTGATCATCTGTCCGAACGGTCAGTTAACTGACTCTATTTAGTGATTTAGGGGTTAGGGTGTACGTTCGGACAGCTTGTATGAGCTATGAGAACAGCAACTTTGAACTAGAGTGTGCATGAAGAGAAATGGGCTCTTGCATGCTCTCGCACCTGTTTAATAGGCGTTTCCTCTCGGTAGCACGTACAGGGAATGTGCATGTGCATTTTTTTTTAAGTGGAGAGGGCGGGTCTTTTAAAAAGATTGCGAAAATCCTCCACAATACTTTCAAAACAGAAAAGAAACAGAAATATTGGTTTTGTTTTTCCAGCTGGAGGGTAAGACTGCAACCACAGCCTGATGCATCCACCTCCATGTTTCACTAATAGGACGGTGTGACCAGGGTGATGTGCATCATTTGTTTTCCACCACACAACATATTTGTTTTGTTTTCTTTATTTTACGACTTTATTTATCTCCAGCAGCTCCTCAGCTGCTTTAGTCCAAACTGAGCTGGCTAGCCTCTCTGATACCAGATTATGTTTACTTTAAAGAATTACTTTCCTTAAAGTTTTGCCTCACATTTCCAAAGTTTTTTTTGTTTATTTGTTTTGGGGCAAACTGCTTTAAGAAGTAAAAATGCAAATTAGCTTGAATCTTTTGTTTGTGTTGGAGCAGCTGCCGCTGTGTTGGATAACCCTGGTTGCTAGAGGGCGATTGTTGAACCCTGATGTTATCTCTGACGTGCTAGCTAGCTTACAGACCTTTACTCTTTGTGCATTTTTTTTTTATTGCCTGGAAGGTGACTGACAGCCCTCAATTTTCTCTTATGTAATTTTGTTGGAGGTCACTGTTTTGTAACTCGTCTTTTTTCTCCCTCTATTCCGACACACTCCTGTTCCCTTTTCCATTTCTCTTGCTAATGATCCATACCATGAGCCAATCTGTCACTGCTGCACCATCGGTCCCTTCCTCTCATTCCCTGCTGTTGTCTCCAACATGATGCCGATAGATTTTTCCCTCCCCTCAAGGGAAGAAGGCACATTTGCTGTGAAAAAACAAAACCCTGGGCAGAATAGTCGGATGGAGTACTGCACGGTGGAGCAAGTGCTGAAAATGAAACACACTGCAATAAGCTGAGCTCAGTGAGATTGTGTTAGTGATTCATTTCATTCATTACTGCGTTTTTTTCCCCACATATTTTCAAACCAAAAAAACTCAGTTACATCTATTTATAGCTCCCTCATGTGTAACAGTGCAGCCTCGTTTCTGATAATTGACTTTTTGTTCCTCGTGGGTTTCCATCCAGATGTGTTTCCTAATATTAGCCATACCTGTACTGTGCTTTAGTTCTATTAGCTTCTTTCTCATATTAAAACCATCAAAATTTCTCATTGTTAATCTGAATTCCTGTAGAGTTTTTCTCCTTTATTGTTTAGGGATGTTTTTAGAGTTAAAAGTAATCGAAACCCAGACAGTATTATCAGTTCATCGACACTTTTACAAAGAAAAATATGACTGCTAACGAGCATGCAATGATCAAAGATTTTCTGCCTTTTTTCTGCTTTTTTAGATGCAGCTGCAAAGACTTTAAATGCAACCTACTACAATTACAGCAAATGTTTTCATTTATAGCAACTACAAAGCTATTATTTTTCAACTTTAAATCTCTTGCTCACAGTTAGCGTAGTGAATAAAGATCATTACCTGGTGAATTTCGCATATTTTCCATAACAGAAGAAGAAAGCTCAAAAGAATAAAGAAAAGCACATTTTAAAATACATTGAGGCTTCCTGTTATCTGCTGGAGTGCATCAGTTTGCTTCTACTCTTATTTTTAGTTGTTCAGGGAACAAACAGACAAAATTAGAGGAAAAAAAAAGAGTTCCTCTGAAACTGCTTACTATTCATTTTACGATCGTCTTCTTGATCCTTCCACACTGAAGAGTGGTGTGAATGCTGAAACCTGGGATCACTTCTCTATTTTGCTTTTACCCATCATTTCCAATCATCTCTCAGTGGATCTATCATTTAGAGACATGCCAGTTGATCCAGGAGTCTTTTATTTATCTGCAGCCGTTGCTGTTAAATATGTTTGCCCTCCAGGAAACCGGGAATCTCTTTGCGAACAGGTTGGACAGGAAAAAGCAGGCATACAGGCTGGATGAGAGAAAGTGAAAGAAATCAAATTTGTAGATGACAAAAAAACAAATGAAAAGACACTAAAATAAGTTTGCTGTTTCTGTACATATATATATATATATATATATATATATTTTTTTTTTTTTTTATATATATATATATTTTTTTTTTTTTTTCTATCATATTGGAAGCGTGCCCCTGATAAGACCAGCTGTGATGTCACCTACGAAGCGATATCAGTCACACCGGTTGACGCACGGTATTTATCTCCGTACTCTCTGCAGCCTGTCATACAGGCTGATATGATCGGAGCTGCTCTGGCCGTCCTGCAGGAATGTCGCTACATTAGATGATAAATGCACAAGTTCAGAGGCGGTAACACGAAACCTGCTGAGAGTTTGAAGATGATATCTGTCTCTTTGCCTGTTTGAGCGTCGGGCAGCGCAGATCCTCATGTTGATGCTGGATGTCAAATCTGAAATTTATCACCCATGACTTGCAGTCTTCTCAGAGCGTGTGCTCATAAACAGAAGGAAAGGAGAAGTAAATGATAACTGGCTGCCGCTGACACAATAGAATTAGTGGTGGCTTTTAGATCCATTGTTTGAATCGTATGTTTTGGTTATGCAAATAATTTTCTGGTTGCTATGGATGGCCGAGCATCGTAGTCTCACATTCCCCTCCTGAGCGGTGCTCCTTAGTTTCCTATGTAGTCTGAAAAAATTATGATGCTCCTAAATTAAATATGTTGTTATTAGGGTGTTAGATTATTTTTGCAACTTTCTCTCCTCCTCTGCTGTGAGTTTGTTTGAAGAAAGTCGTCCTAGTAACAGAATCCACTCTGTTTATGTGTGAAGTCTAAGTAGAATAGCTTTTACATGAGATATTTTGTTTTCTCTTTTTCTCTCTTCGCCTTTTCTCACCTTCTCCACCTTTTTTGGCCATTTCTCATGACAGAAAAGTGTGAAGGAGGGAATCCTGTTAAAACAGACCAGCTCCTTCCAAAGATGGAAGAGGAGATACTTCAAACTCAGAGGGAGGACTCTCTACTACGCCAAAGACTGCAAGGTACAGAAACATGTGAAAGTGCCCCTGCATTGCTTTTAAATACACTATGTTATTAATAATTATGATCATAATCATTAGAAATGTGACTTTATGCATTGAAAAAGCGAAATCAAAGGTGATTGCAGTGTTTGGTTTCCCCATCAGTCCCTGATCTTTGATGAGGTGGACCTATCAGACGCCAGCGTGGCTGAAACGAGCACCAAGAACATCAACAACAGCTTCACAGTAAGCAAATCCCTTTATTTTGAATAATAAAACATTTCTATTTAGTTTTTTCACTTAACAGCCTATTCCTACATTTAAACAATTTTCTAAATCTTACAGATCTGGATGGGAAATAGGGCGTAATATGTTTAATTCTTGTCTTTATCCGAGTAACGTTTTTTCCAGCTGTTATTTTCTGAAATATGATTGTTTTAAAGTGAACAAAGCATTTTTAAGTTATAGTTTCTACAAATCAATATGAATGATAACAAGAATTTATTTAAAAGAATGTTTTTTCGCAACTTTTAACGTCTTAAATCTTATTGTTAATTCATCTATTTACATTCCGAGCCACACAAGTTGCTTTTTAATGTGTTTTAGAAAGCATACGCTCTCTAAATTCACTGTCCAAATGATCAGTAGTTTGTGGCATTTTCTCTGTTTTGATATGACTCATTGATAGTTTGACATTTCATTGCTCTTCATAATTATGTGCGAAACAAATTGGTAGTTGGTGTTATTCTGCTCATAAACAAGGTGGAAAATTATAAAAATGATTAATGGGTCTCAACCATGTAGCTGTTGGTCTAAGCTGGGCTGGTCAGATCAAAAGGACATAGGGAGATGGAGCAGCTAATGCCTTCCTGCTTTTTCTGCTATTTTATTATTTTGAAAAGTGGGAAGGATAAACCTCCTCTTGCATGTTTCCTCTGTCCATAGCGTTCCTTGATAGTGTCGTTTCTAAGTCACCAATTTAGTGCTACTTGGTCCCAATGGAATTTCCCATTGGGAACCTACTATCACTAAGTTGCTAACTGGTTAGCAAGATGCTTCAGAGAAAACGACCACAATCAAACTTGCTTGCAAATCCTCCGCCACAACAATCCGCTCTCTTGATAATCGACCAATCACATTTACTTTATTCACTCGTGTAAAGTGCACTCGGGAGAATTCGAAAATGCAACGTTTTCCTACGACTTGAAGCAGCTGAACCAGAACCAGAGATAAACAAATGAATAACAATAAAAAAAAACTATAATATCTCATAAAACAGTCCAAAAAACAGGAAAAGATAAAACTGTTGCCACTGAAAGAAAGTGTTTCTGTGGTATTGAGTTTTAGCAGTGTGCGCAATATTACCAGCGGTGCAGAAGAGGCGCTCCAAAGGGTCGCTTGTCTTTGTCCACACCTGCACGAACATATTATCCATCACCATTTGTTGTACTGATGAATATCGGTTAGAATTGTTTTTCACCTCACATTAGCTGGAAGCTCAAACCAGTAAAACGAAGCATATTTTCTGTTACCGTATTTTCACGACTATAAGGCGCACTTAAACGTCTTTTTTTTCCCTCAAAAT